GGGGGGGGGAAGGGCCCCAAGAAAGTCAGGATACATAAAACCAAAACAGACCGCAAAGCATCACATGTGATGCAGCAGAAAACCAGTCCAAAACCAAATCCAACCGAGTGATCCTCTATTAACACATGCTGCAAAAAACAACACATCCACCAAGAGGCCTGCCAGAAGTTGAGTATATTCTATTAAGCCATTAAAAAAAAAAAAAAAAGTTTTCTCTGCAAAGAGGCAGTCACAGGATCTGGACTAGATGTGTCCTAGCCACCCTGATCACTGCTACCTCCTGTCTATACCTGATCACCTGAAACAGGTAGACCTTGCAAGGAAGCCCCGCACACTCACAGAGGTTGGGGCAGGGATTCAGGTTCTTTCCACAACTCTCCTCCAACATTCACTCACGCTTCCTCTGTCAAATTTCCCCCTTTTGAGCAAAGGAAAGTTCCTGCCCGCCCCACGGCGCATCCAAGAACCCACTTTTAGCCGTGCCGAGAATGTTCTCCGCAGGCAGCATCTCTTCTGCCAGTCTGGGTCTGAGGGGTTTTGGAAGAGATTTGAATAAAGACATTAATGAGACGTTTCAGTTTTAAGTCTCACCCTTTTATTTTTTCCATCTTCCTTCACTATAACAAAGCCAAACTGCCTTACAGCAGCTTCCACTTCAAATTCTCAGCCCATTTTAGAGTTATCCATAACCACTTTACACAAAGGGGAAACTAAGGCACAAAAGCTTTTTATAAACCACGTCCCATGGAATAAATGACAAAGTCGGGCGGTATACAGTGACTCCTTCTCTCACAACTAAACCCTCCTTCCTACACCATACTTGCATTTGAATTTATAACCATATGCCTCAAAAACGAAGTTCATTTTAAGTCACCAATTACTTGAATTGACAGTACAAATCAGTTCAACATGCTGAACCCATGTTTCATACACTATGTATCTCTGCAATCACCATCACAGCAGGAGTCAGGCCACATGGCTTGTACACTGCTTCCAAGCTAACTTGGTAAAAAACACTGTCCCATGGACCAACAGCAGTTCCGTTGGCCAACTTGAAGAAAAAAAAAAAAAAGGTTAATGACAATTGCAGCATACCGAGACGGGCTGAACATCTAACAGAGGGGCTGAAGGGCTCAATAGGAAGTTCATTTTCACCTGATGTCTTTGTAAAATCACCCGGAGAAAAATCAGAGCACTAAATACATGCAGTGGGAAATGCTAGAGAAAACTGGAAAATAAGAAACCTTAGGAAAATGGAGACATGAGCAAGAAGAAATTAAATACCTTTATACTGCTTAGAGGGTTGGAGAGAAAGACAAACTGCAAGTGGAGGGTTTAACTTACTCAAAGTTTGTGCAAAGCTTTTCCCTCGCCATAATTTGAGGAGACAGAGAGCAAGGAGGCAATGTCCCAATCTCTAACACTCTGGTATAAACCACATTCAGCTCTGAACTATTCAGTATCAGAAGGATATTGGTAAATTGGAAGGCATTCAGGAAAAAATAGTTAAGCAGCTGGAGGGATTGATTTACAAGGAAAGATTAAAATAACTAGATGCATAGTTTGGCTAAGCGGTAAGTAAGGTGGACAGGATAGTTTTCTACAGTTAGTTAAAGGAGAAGTGCCAAAAGGGAGAGGAAGTGTTTAGCATACTACAATTGGGTATAACCAAAGGAATGGCATGAAATTAAGGAAATTCAGGGCTGTATTAAAAAAAAAAAAAAAGTTCTCAAAGCAGTAAAGTCTGTCAGCTTCTAAAATAGTTTTCCACTTCTCAATTTCCAACCAAGTGCTAGGATCAGAAATAACAGGCCCAAACGAAGGACTCCACACAGACAAAAGACTATGCCAGACACAGGTAACCACCACAGACCTTCCATGCAGGTTGCTGGCTAGCCACTTCCACCGGTTCAACTTATTTTTTGTTTGTTTTTACACGCTAACACCAAACAAGCACTCCAGTACTCTCCAGCCCTCAAAGTTGGCAAGAATTATTACCCCACTCACGTCGCAAAAGGTGAATATGATCTTTCACTTTAAAGAAATAAGGAGCAAGGACATTATCCCTATACATTTTCCAAACTGGAATCTGGCTGCTGAATTCATCTCCCACAAATTTCTCCTCCACATTTAAACAGTGAAGTTAACCTCTGCTGAAAAAACCCAACCCAAGAAACTGTTCAATAAAGTTAATGGTTCAGAACTGCTGCTGAATTCCTATCCAGAAACGACTGCATTTTAGCGACAACTATATTTAAACAGTTTGCAAAGGACCGGACAATCCCTGCAGACAGTGCTCTTCAACTCTGCTGGCAGAGGAATGTCCCTGCCCAAAAAGCACTGTAATAGTTAGTGACACTTTTATGCTCTTCAGAAGGAACCTGAGCAGGGAAAGAAGGGATAACTTCATAAAGAAAGATAACAACAAGACTCAGTGAAGTAAAGGCAACACAGAAAGAGGCAGAAATAGCAAGAAGGGAAAAGCTGAGCAGAAGAGGGAGTTTTACTTGTCACAAACATTTCATCTAACACTTGAACTAGCTGATCTTTTCTTCCTTAGCAAAGTTGAGGGAAGTCATCCCAACACTTCTGGCAGTAGGGACAAAACAGCCTTCAGAAGTGACCCAGGTTGCACTCACAAAGTTTGAGCTACTAAAAGGCACAGACTTCACAGGACCAGCGGGAGGTGAGCAAGCGCACAGCGAAGCCTCACTGCTTCAGCAACTTCTCAGAAGATTTAGCTCCCAAAATCCCACAGTGAGAACCAACCTCTTTTTAAGGCTTGGGGAGAAGACACTTAATGCTCTAATTGCTGTTGTTTGCACATCTTCTTTTACTCCGTGCTGTGGGAGTTACTGACTCCTTCACGCGGGAGGGTATGCGGTGGGATGAGGCAGAGATGCCTCCACCTCCTAACCTCCTTCAGGCCCACAGCAACCTCCCAGCCTACACGCTGTTCACGTATACGCTGTATCCCCCGTCCCCTCTTAACAGCCCTTCTACCTCTACTCACCACTGGGAACTCCCACACCTAAGCCTGGATCCCCCCAACCACCCCAGGAGAGCCCAGAGCTATCCTGCTGAGCCCAAGCCCCTCTTACTGACTTCATCCAAGAGAACAGGGTCTCAACCAAAGGGTGCTCTCAGCACCCCCACCCCAATGGGTCCCCCACAGCCCCCCAAGAACCTTCCCAAGGTTCCTCTACCCATCAAGGCTCTAGTATCTGCAATCCCCCAAGTCACCCCCTATCTTTTTAGGGGCCCCCCAAGCGGTTCTCCAGATCTGCAATCCCCCAAGAGCCCCCATATCTCTCTAGGGCCTCTTCCAAAGCCCCCCCACCCCTCCAGGCC